TACATGTGAAATGTAAAAAATACTGGGGAAGTGATTGGTTAGGAGATAAATGACATCTGGGAGCTGAAAAATTATTTAACAAATTCAGACTTTTTCAAGATTTAATTGGGTTTAAGTCTGATTACCAAAAACTTGAAGTAATCCCTAGATTATCAACAAATCTGAAATTATTACTTAAAACCAGGATTTAGCAAAAATAACTGATCAAGGTCTCCTCTTATTTTTCCTGTTCCCACTGTGGAGAAAGTGCCAAGAAACAATAAAGGGGAGGAAAATGGATGAGCCTGGAGACCCAGCCCTGAGCACTGCAGGGGTGACCGCATGGTTCATTCAGTGCCTGGGAAAGCAAGCATATGGTAGAAAGTGCTTCATAAATCCGAAGGAATTTGTTGTTTTTTGTTGCTATTATTTGTATTACATTACCATGGATGAGTCTTTATTTCTTAGAGCAGATTTTTTTAAAAGCAGGCTTAAACTCCAGTGAGTGTAAGTTAGGAAAAAAAGCAGGGATTTCTTTTTTTAAAACATGATGGTTGTTTAAACAATATGCAAGTTAATGGTAACCTCAGAAACATAATCTTTGAAAGTCTTCAAAATGTGTCTTTCTGGGATGTCTGAACTCCATGCCTTGCTGAAGGAGAGAGCCAACTTTGCATCGTGTGAGGACCTTGTTTTGCTTAATATCATGCAACTCACTCAGAACCAAGCTATTTGCCTAGAATGCTAAAATACGAGAAGAAAATGAAGTATCCTTTTACATATTTTACAGAAGAATTGTCTATTTTGAAAGATGTGTTCAAAACCTGAATCATTGACTAACAATGCTCAGGAGACCCTCTGTGGCAGTCAGCTGTACTTTCTACACCAAGCGAGATGATGAAAACATGCAGATATTGGAAAGCCCTGGCTCCTCATCTGCAATGAAGAAGATATACTGTACACATACACCCATATATCGCTGGAAACTGATAGGATATGTCATCCCTCAGGACTGTGTGTTTTCTTTAAAATTTCATTAATTCAACAAATACAAATTCATCAATGACCATATGTAAGACTGAGTTAGGATCTGTAGGAAACACAGGGGAATCAGTTATGAATTCCTTTCTTCAACAGCTTAGAGCGGGGCAGATCCTGGAGGATCAGATCCTCTAATTAAGGAGGGTACATTCTGCAGTGATGGGGACACACAGCACAGTGCCTTAGTTCTGACTGGGACAATCCCCTATGGGTAAACTGTGGGTAAGATGTACTGGAGGTGAGAGAGGGATACTGAGAGCTGGATGACAGAGTTGCCAGGGAAAGTGGATTACTGGGAGTCTAAGGAGACAGTGTGAGTGTCAAGGCTAGGAGAATACGGACCTTAGAAACATTCCAAAGTAAACTCAAAAAGTCTAGGAGTAAAAATGAAAGAAGAATCAAATATGACCTAGCTGTTTGAAGCTTGGAGGTATTATTAATAGAAATGGAAAGTGTTGGAGAAAAGCAAAGTTAAGACTAGAGGGAGATAAATTCACTTGGGCCATGCTTAATTTGAGATGACAGCAGAATACAGCAGTGAATATATTGAGCACATCAGAAAACCCATTTCTGAGGTCTGGGAGGAGATCAGAGCAAGGGAAGGATTTGGGCTCTCATGGCTTTTCCCCTCCTCCCTCACTGTTCTTACTTTATTTTTCTAGCTCCTCTTTCTTTTCCTTCCTCTGAATCTGTTGTTACTTGTTACTTCTCTTTCCCTCTATATTATTCTTGGAATCATGATGAGAATAGTAGGTATAATAATAATAACAGCTGTCATTTTGTAAGCAACGATTACATTTCAGGCAAGGAACGATCGTTTCCCGACACCTTTTTCCTTCCTCCCACCAATGTGTTCCTTCAGCTCACCTCCAGCCAGCTCATCGGCCTCTTTTATTCCTAGAAAATATCTTACTTGTATTGCTGGTCTCATCTAACCTTTATGTAACTATCAGGTAAGGTCAAACTTACTATTTCCATTTTCAGATAAGAAAATGAAGGCCCAGTGATATTAGACTAGTTCCCACAGACGTGACTGGTAGGTGACACAAACAGTATTCACACACTGATCACAAACTGAAACTATTCTCTTTCCACTAGAACAGGTGTGGGTAAATTACTGCCATGGGCCAAATCTGACCCCCTCACCTGTTTTTCTGTAGCCTATGAGCTAATAATGGTTTTTACAGAAAAAGAATCAAAGAAGAATAAATATTTTGTGACATGCGAAAATTATATGAAATTCAAATTTGTGTTCATTAAAGAAGTTTTACTGGGACACAGTCATACTCATTTGGCTGTGGCTGCTCCTGCCCTGCAATGGCAGGACGGACTAGATGCGACAGGAATTCTGTGGCTCACACAACCAAAAATATTCACTCTCTGGTCCTTTGCAGAAAAAGTTTACCATTCCCTGCTGTGTGCTGTTTCTGGGCACGTCATTGAATCTATAGATTCAGCGATCAATTCTGTGCACAAACTCTCACGCTGGAATGAAACAGATGAAAGAGGGGAAATGGCACCCTCTGCTACTCCAAGTTACAACAGTCTCACCGATAAAATCCCAACAACCCAGGGAGGGAACACATTACACCTGTCAAAAAAGTGGCAGAATCTGAAGCATGGTAGTCAACAGAACCAGCCATAGTAATTGTGACACACCATTTACCAGTGCGTCTTTTCCTTTTCTTGAGGTAGTAAAAACATATTTTTCAACATGCAAAATAAAAACCTATAAAATCTATGATGACTGAGAAGAGAAAATAAATCTTATTTCAATAAAGCTGGCGGGATTAGTAGATGACTTGCGTGCCCCCACACTCAAAACGCAGTGTGTGGTACAAACTCAATCAATATTTGCTGAAAAATGAATGTGTGAAAGTAGAAAGGAGGGGCTAACCCAATACAAAAATCAGCATAAGGGAAAAGAATATTTAGGAGGTAAAACCCTGTATTAGGCCATTCTGGCATTGATATAAAGAAATACCTGAGACTGTGACTTACAAAAAAAAAAAGAGTTTTAATTGGCTTTGGGTTGGGGGGGAATGTAAGGGGGTAGGTGCCACACCCTTTAAGTGACCAGATCTCATGAGAACTCACTCACTCTTGTGAAGACAGCACCACCCCATGAGGAATCCACCCCAGTGCTCTAAACATCTTCTACCAGGTTCCACCTCCAATACTGGGAATTACATTTTAACATGAGATTTGGGGGTGGTGACAAATACCCAAACTGTATCAAACTCTGCCTGGTACCTTCTTTTTCTGAAGATAAAGAAGGTCAGTGAGCTGGAGATAAACCAAAGGGGCATGTTGGTGGAGAACAGGGAGAAGGACAGGAAGGCAGGAGGCAATGACAAGCTCCGATACTCCAAGAAGAACACACATTTCGGAGTTCCTGAAGCCGGCCTCCCAGGCACCCAGCTTGCCTCTGAGTGCAGCTTCTAATTTTCCATTTGTTTTTCCTTCCGTCATCTTCCCTCACAGAAGACAGTTTGTTCAAATACTTTTTGCAAATGAGATGACAGAATGCAATGCATATTCCAATGGCATACTTGAAGCGTTTTAAATCCTCTCTGGTTTTAGAATCATGTGTAAACTGTTTTAGGGCCTATACGTACTTACTTCAGATTTTCTATTTCATTATTGCTTTTGGAGAATTTGCAGTCTACTTTAATAACTGAAATTTTCTAGTATTAGTAGTTATGGTTAATCTTCCTAAACAAAATTTTAATCTTTTGGCAGAATTTACTTTAAAAAGGTATAATCGATTCATTGCTATGTTCTTTGGGTGCCCAGCAAACCTGTGTGAAGCAGAATAGACTGGAGTCTTTTCCACCTGTACATCTTGAAAAAGTTTTCCTTGAATATATCTTTTATCCTCCCTTTAAATCTATTCTTTCTTTCCTATACCCCTTCTCTGTTTATGTCCTTAATGCAGGGACAATGCTATTCATCTCTACATCCCTCACATAGTAGTTGCTCAATAAATGCCGGATAAAGTGATGGATGCTTTTGCTCTTCCTTTTTGTCTTCTTTCATCCCTCTCCTTCCTCACACTCCTCCTGTTTTGCTCAGAGGGAATACTATACATTTGCTAAGTCATAACCTTAGTCCCTTATATGATTCCGCTTTGCAAAAGAACTTTGTGCCCATCTGGTTAGTGTCATCTTTTGGGCACACCAATCTTCAACCTGCTGATAACCAACTTCCCTAGCTTCCAGCCCTAATCCAACACTTCCCAATGTATGTTCTGTGGATATGCTAATGAGATATTAATTTGTCTAATGTAAAAATTTATTTGTGATCAAATTAGAGAAATGCCTTGTAAAATATTTATTGGAGTGAGATTTTTAAAAGCTTTCAATATGCAAATGAGCAATGAGAATCTTTAAAAGCAGGTATAGAATGCAGTAGTTTTGAAGTGTTTGACCAGAGAAATTTCTCTCTCTCTCTCTTCCCTCAACCCAGAACTTCTCAACGGATACAATTTGCATAATGGAAAATGTTTGTGCTCTTCATTTAAGACACAGACATCTGCTGGACTAAGTTTATCCCCTGCCAGGAAAAGGGACTGAGATTGACATTGAAATTCAATAGGGAATTAATATTTATTGAGACTCTCTTCCACTGCAGACACTATGCTAGGAACTTTGATAATATTAATAAGAACAATTATAACAAAAATATACATGGACATATTTTATCTCATTTAGTACATATCCTTCTATTAATACCACGAGGCTAATATTGTTCTCATTTTATAGACGGTGAAACAGGAGCTCAGATGGTTAACCTAGCCACGGCCAACTAGCTATAGGTGGCAGACCCAGCATTCCAGTCCACGTTTGTTTGAAACTAAAGCCAGAACATTGTCCTTTCCACTTGGCTGCTTGAGCAACTGTGGTGACCAACAGCCAACCTATCTTATATGTAACAGTAAAAATAGGCACAAACACAATTTTTTAAAATTTAAAATGTATTTATTTTAGAGCGAGAGTCTCACTTTGCTGCCCAGACTAGAGTGCAGTGGCTCAATTATAGTTCACTCTAATCTTGAACTCCTTTGCCCAAGTGATCTTCTCACTTCAGCCTTCTGGGTAACTGAGACTACAGGTGTGTGCCACCATGCCCAGCTAATTTTTGAAAGTTTTTGTAGAGATGGGGGTGGGAAGGCAGAGGGTGGATCTTGCTATGTTACCTAGGCTGTTCCTGAACTCTGGCCTCAAGTGATCTTCCATCTTCATCTCCCAAAGCACTGAGATTACACGCATGAGCCACAACATCTGGCAAAACATAATTAAAACATTTTAGACCAATATTGCATAAGGAGTTAAGAGAACCAGACTACAGGGTATGGTTGTACAGACTGCACACTGCACCATTCGAGGGGAAGCCACGTGACTGGCACCCCCTAAAATAAAGTGCTGTCTTTAGCGTCAGCAGCCATATGTGCAGCTCTAGAACAGGAACAGATTGGGAAAGGTAGTCAGGTGCCATAGTACTTTGGGTTTCAGATGCAAATATAAATTTTGAGCAAGAAATTAGGACAAAATGATAACCCGTTTCAGGAAAATAATACATGTAAAAACTCACCTTGAAAGAGGAAATCAAAACTTGCACACAGTGCAGCATTGGTAAGAGAGGTCTGATCCATCCTGATAAACCGGCAGTTTCGAGTCACTTTTTATTACATTCATAATGATTATGTTCCTAATATCTGTGGATTCATTCCCCTCCATTTTTATTTATTTTTTAATCTTTCTTTTAACCATCTTCTGTCTTTTCTAGATGTTTCATTTGAGCTGCTATGCTCCCCATTGGTGGCTGGGCCACTCCTGACTCGGGCAGGAAGGGCGATCTGTAGCTTCACACACAGCAGCGGGTAGAGTCTGAAGGTCACACTTTGGCCTTCCACCCAGTGTCCAGTGTGCTGGGGATTAGCCTCTGAATCACAGCCTTTCCCTTCTCCTGCCATGTTGGCCCAGTCAGACAAGAGGTGCTCTCTGCTCAGCACACAAGTTGCTTGCTGTGACTGGCATTCTGCTGTGAAAACCAGATTACTTGTGAGACTATCATCAGTGAATCTTTGCCTAACTTCTACATGGGACTGGAATATGATCTGTATATCTTTCGTTACTGGCCAAGATTTTCATTGTGCATATTGGAAAGCATATGGACTTTGGTGTCAGACACTCATACGAACAAATTCCAGCCTTAGCAATGACTAGCTGTGTCACCTAAGACAAATTACCAACTTTGCTGGACTTTACCCTTCTCATCTATGGAAGGGCATATTAAGGAAGGGCTCACATGAAGGAAATCATCTATACGGGTTTTTACTCCTCCCTTGTTTTTCTGAAGAGGTCCCATAGAGTGGATACTGGTTAGAATATTTTCAGTGGCAGGGAATGGTGACTCAAAGTAATTTAAACAGTGAGGTTATTTCCTGGCTCATACAAAACAAAATCCAGAGGTAGGACAGCCACACATCTTGTTGATCCATCTGTTTAATTATGTCCTCAATAAACCAGGGTCCTTCTGTCTCTCCACACAATAATCCACAGAGAAGACTTCATCCTCAGTTAATTCTCTACTTGGTAGTAGGGTGGCTTTGGGTAACAGTCGGTATCATGTGCTTCTCTATTCACTTCTGGAGAGAAAAAGAACATTTCTCTCTGATCTTTGGAACTCAAGTTCTTCTTGTTCATTTCCTTGGACCAATCTAAGTCGTATGCTCTTCTTGAATCAATAATTTTGGTAGGGAACTGTTAGATGCTGACTGGTCTAAGTTTCTGAACCATCACTGGTAATGAATCACCGTGATTGACTAATACCAGGAAAAGCCATTCCTAACTCTAATGCAGGTATCTAATGTGAAAGGGGTGGGGTGAACGTTGAAGAATCCGACTGTACAGGGTGAAACACTTGAGCTTTGCTTTATATCCCTACTTGGCAAGTACCAGTGGAGTGGCAATTTCTGAACTTCAATTTAACCATCTAGAAATGGGGGATAAAAATAGAACATCTCTCACTGGCTAGCTTCACAAGATTTGTGATACCCTAAGCCCAGAGCCTAGCAAATTGTCTACAAATTCTAGGTGTTACTGTTTCTTTATATGCCTAGAAAGGTGGTGCCACTTCTTGTATTTGGTTGTTACTTGATTCTTGGATTCCTACCATGGACTCCTCTGCACCAGGGTTGCTGAATTCCATCTGAACATTTCATGCCCTCTCTACACTGTACCTCTGATGATTCAGCTGCTCATGAAGGATTGACTGGATTAGTCCCGTCTCTCTTCCAGTACTGCCCCATCAAATCTGGACTTATAACTCCTAACTCTTCCCCAGTGACACAGGGTATTGAGGTCCCAGCTTGCTTTGTGCCAGAGTGTGATGGTTGGTTTTGGGCATCAACTTGACCAGATTAAGGGACACCCAGATAGCTGGCAAAACATTATTTATTCTCACTACTTCAGTAGGTCCTAAACTCATTCCTCTTATGGAACAAAGCTGCTTTGCTTTGATAGCAAAGCCAGGTGTCTTGGAGTTTGATTAGAATGATTGGGCTACCCCAGGTGTGAGGATCTTTGTAGAGGAGATTGGCATGTAAGTCACTACTGAGTGGAGAATATCCACCTTCAGTGTGGGTAGACCCTCTCCAGTTGGCTGAGGGTTTAGATGGAACTAAATGGGACAGGAAGGGTGACTTCTTGCTATCTTTTCCAGAGCCAAGATGCCCATCTTCTCCTGCCCATGGATGTTAGACTCCAGGTTCTCCCATTGTCAGACCCCAGCACTCACACCAGTGGACCACTGGGCTCCTGGACCTTTGGCCTTGAACTGAGATTTACACCTTTGTCTTTTTTTGGTTCTAAGGCTTTCAGACTTGGACTGAGCATGCTGCCGGCTTCCCTTCCTCTCCAGTTCGCTGACAGGCTACTCAGCCTCCAATTAGGTCAAGTGACCTAATTCCCCTAATAAATTCATTTTCCTCTCTCTCCCTATATATGTCCTATTGGTTCTGTCTCTATGGCAAACCCTGACTAACTCACAGAGCAAACCCATGTTTTGATAATTTTCTTGGTAAGCAAGAAAGATAAGGAGCATGAATAACTAAATGTCTCCTATTGTTCCCATTGCTAAGATGCCTGCTACTCAGAAGTGAATATTTTGCGTTTGAAACCTGCTTTTAGGCTAGACCTACTTTATTAACATCCAAAACAATATCATTATTACATTGCTTAGAGTCTTGTTTCTTCTTGGAGATAGTGTTATCAAATATTGCACATCCTCATGTGTTTCTGTTTTCTTAATATAATTTCTGGGGTACATGTGCAGAATGTGCAGGTTTGTTATTAGGTATACGTGTGCCATGGTGGTTTGCTGCATCCATCACCCTGCCATCTACATTAGGTATTTCTCCTAATGCTATCACTCCCCTAGCCCCCGACCCCCTGACAGGCCCCGGTGTGTGATGTTCCCCTCCCCGTGTCCATGTGTTCTCATTGTACAACTCCCATTTATGAGTGAGAACATGTGGTGTTTGGTCCTCTGTTCTTGTGTCAGTTTGCTGAGAATGATGGTTTCCAGATTCATCCATGTCCCTGCAAAGACATGAACTCATCCTTTTTTATGGCTGCATAGTATTCCATGGTGTGTATGTGCCACATTTTCTTTATCCAGTCTATCATTGATGGGTATTTGTGTTGCTTCCAAGTCTTTGCTATTGTGAGGAGTGCCACAATAAACATACATGTGCATCTGTCCATAGAGTTGAATGTTTTATAATCCTCTGTGTATATACCCAGTAATGGGATTGCTGGTTCAAACGGTATTTCTAGTTCTGGATCCTTGAGGAACTGCCACACTGTCTTCCACAATGTTTGACCTAATTTAAAGTCCCACCAGAAGTGTAAAAGTGTTCCTATTTTTCCACATCCTCTCCAGCATCTGTTGTCTCCTGATTCTTTAACAATCGCCATGCCATTTTAACTGTCATGAAATGGTATCTCCATGTGGTTTTGATTTGCATTTCTCGAATGACCAGTGATGATGAGCTTTTTTTCATGTTTGTTGGCTGCATAAATGTCTTCTTTTGAGAAGTGTCTGTTCATATCCTTCACCCACTTTTTGATGGGGTTGTCTTTTCCTTGTAAATTTGTTTAAGTTCTTTGTAGATTCTGGATATTAGCCCTTTGTCAGATGGGTAGATTGCAAAATGTTTTTCCCATTCTCTTGGTTGCTGATTCACTCTAATGATAGTTTCTTCACTGTGCAGAAGCTCTTTAGTTTAATTAAGATCTCATTTGTCTATTTTGGCTTTTGTTGCCATTGCTTTTGGTGTTTGTTATGAAGTCCTTGCCCATGTCTATGTCTTGAATGGTATTGCCGATGTTTTCTTCTAGGGATTTTATGGTTTGAGGTCTTATGTTTAAATCTTTAATCCATCTGGAGTTAATTTTTGTATAAGGTGTAAGGAAGAGATCCAGTTTCAGCTTTCCACAGGTGGCGAGTCAGTTTTCCCAACACCATTGGTTAAATAGGGAATCCTTTCCCCATTGCTTGTTTTTGTTAGGTTTGTCAAAGATCAGATGGTTGTAGGTGTGTGGCATTATTTCCAAGGCCTCTATTCTGTTCCATTGGTCTATATATCTGTTTTGGTACCAGTACCATGCTGTTTTGATTACTGTAGCCTTATAGTATAGTTTGAAGTCAGGTAGCGTGATGCCTCCAGCTTTTTTTTTTTTTTTCTTTTTTGCTTAGTATTGTCTTGGCTATGGGGGCTCTTTTTTGGTTCCAAATGAAATGTAAGGTGGCTTTTTTCCAATACTGTGAAGAAAGTCAATGGTAGCTTGATGGAAATAGCATCAAATCTTATCAATTACTTTGGGTAGTATGGCCATTTTCACGATATTGATTCTTCCTAACCATGAGCATGGAACGTTTTTCCATCTGTTTGTGTCCTCTTCTTTTCTTGAGCAGTGGTTTGCAGTTCTCCTTGAAGAGGTCCTTTGCATCCCTTGTTAGCTATATTCCTAGGTATTTATTTAATTTTTTTTGTAGCAATTGTGAATGGGAGTTCACTCATGATTTGGCTGTTATTGGTGTATAGAAATGCTTGAAATTTTTGCATATTGATTTTTGTATCCTGAGACTTTGCTGAAGTTGATGATCAGCTTAAGGAGATTTTGGGCTGAGATGATGGGGTCTTCTAAATATACAATCATGTCATCTGCAAATAGAGACAATTGATTTGCTCTCTTCCTAATTGAATACTTTTATT